CACCTGAAAAGCTTGGCCTTTGCTTGGGGTCTTGGTCCCAGCACCTCTTCATCAAGTCCACCATCTGCTGGCACTCCCCGGGCCAGTCGTCGCTGATGAGCTCCAGCCCCGGCCTCTTCCCCGCGGCCACCTTGACGATGATGGCCATCATGTTGGCTCCTGCAACACAACAGCACCCCCGGGGCTTTTCCTCTGGGAGGGCAGCTGCAGTGAACACTTCCCAACTGCAGAGCCAGGGAGAAGGGCTCATATTTACCTGCATAGGGTTTCTTCTGCATCAGCACCTCCCAGATGACGATCCCGAAGCTGCGGGCAAGAGGAGATGGTGAGCAGCCCCTCCCACGGGTACAGAAAATGCACTTATTGGTCTTACCCTCTTGAGAAATGGGGAAATTAGGGAAGAGGGTTTTCAGGATGGAAGGAGTTCACCCCCCAGGCCAAAGGGATCAGGTCTTATGGTTCTATCTCACTAATGCCCCAGTGAAAGGGTTGGTGTAGTGAATTAGTGACTTAGAGCCTTTCCTGTGAAACTTGGGCTCTCAGTGCCTTTTTTTCATTTTATTCACATTGGGTTTTAGGGGCCTTGACTACTGCAAGTTCATGGGGCCGTGCAAATCCTCCTTTGCTTCTTGCCTTGGGTGACTGCGGGGTGTAGAGGCCAAGGAGACAAGGAATTTCCAGACATTTATATGTAGCTTGTGTAAATATGCTTCAAAGCTCTTTGCCCCAAAGGAAAAAAATCACATTGAAATCTCTTCTCCATCTGTTACTGACCACAGTGAAGCTGGATCCTGAAGCAGACAAGCAATATTACAGTTGTTTTAAAAGCAAAATGAACCCAAGCAGTGACTGCTATGAAAGAGCAGACACTGTGTGTTCTGGGCTCTAATCTGACTCATTTTTATAATAACTTCCAGCAACCAAACAGGGCGTGATGGCACCTGAGGCAACACAGTCAGCAGCTCACATGGGATGGGTGCTGCTGGTCAGGGATGATGATTTTCCACAGAAAATCCCCCTCCCTCTCAGTCTCCAGCACTGAGGTGGGGGCACTCTGTCACTCCCAGGCTGTTCCCCACGTTATAAAGCAGGATTTAAAGGAAATGAGGCAGTGTGCAGCCCCTCTGGCTCTGTGGGAGGGCTCAGGGAGCTCCCTGTGTGCCCCCTGGCAGCCCTTACCTGTACACATCGTATTTGATTCCCGGGGGTTTGCTGTTCTGCAGGAACATTTCGGGGGGGATGTAGCTCAAAGTGCCCCTCAGAGCAGAGCTCTCGATGTACTGCATTCTGCTGGATTGCTCCATCCACTTGGAAAGCCCAAAGTCTGAGATCTGCAAGCACAAGCAGTGAGAGCCTTTCCCCTGGAATGCTCATCCCTCATCCCTCCTGTTAGCTGGGAGGTGCCCCCCTCCCTCAGGATCAGGGACATGGGCAGGGGCCAGGCACTGAGACTTGATAAAACCCTGTTAAACTGCACTCAGTCCCTGCCACTGGGTCCAGCAGAGCAGCCTTTCCTCCTAGGCTGGAGCCTTAAATTCCCAGGTCTGGCACAGATTCCCGGGATGACCTCGACACTATAATCTAATTTATTTACCAGTTGCTTCCTATAAGCCCCAGTGGCCAATTTCTCACTGAGTGTTCCTGAAGAACTCGATATACCAGGACTCTGCACCTGTTTGGCAAAAATAACCTTTCCCTGTTTGAGAAAGAACCTGTCCCTTCAAACACCCGGTGAGGTCATACCTTGACGTGCATATTCCCATCCAGGAGAATGTTCCCTGGTTTGAGATCCAAGTGCAGCAAAGGGGGTGTCATGCTATGCAGGAAGTTCATAGCCAAGCCCATCTCGTGGATAACCCGGAATTTGAGCTGCCAAGACATTTTGTGAGTGGGCAGAATTTTCTCCAAGGACCCTCTGGCCATGTATTCCATCACTATCCCCAGAGGGCTGTTGCAGACCCCGTAGATGGTGACAATGTGCTGGAATTTGATTTTCTCCATCTTGGTTGCCTCCTCCATGAGACAGTTCATGCTGGTCCTGGAAAAGTGAAAATGAAAAATAAAATAGAAAGTGGAACCCAGAAGTTGCCTCTGTTGATTCCCAGGCTCAGGAACTCTGCAGCAGCTCAGTGAGATCCAGCCTTTCCCAGCAGCCCTGCCCACCCCGAAAAGATCCATCCCAATTTGCCCCTTGAATTCATGACAATGTAACCACATCGGGGGGGTGGAACTGGAGGGTCTTTAAGGTCCCTTCCAACCCAGACCTTTCTGGGGTTCTATGGAATTCCCAAGGGATGTTTCCTGGCGCCAGGAGCGGGCAGAGCTCGGTGACCCGCGGTGTCCCCAGGCCATGCCCTGCCCTACCTGTGCCTCCACCTCTGCCTGCAGCCTCCTGGCCCTGAGCAGGGTGAATGTGGTCCCAGAGGGAGCCCAGACACGCCCGTCCCTCACTGCCAGCTCTGCCAGCCCTGCTGCACCCAGGGCAGACCTGTTCCACTGCAGCTTTGCATCTCCCAACCTGCTCGACGGGTCGGGGTGCCCAGAGTGCTCTGAGAGCAGCCAGGCAGCAAAGGGCCAGGGCTGCCTCTAAAAAGCACACCCTGGGAATCAATCTGAGCCTCCAACAGCACCGTGCCAGGCCACTAAGAGATCTGAGATGGTTCAGCCAAGCAAATCCCTCTGCCAGGCTCCCTCTGGCAGCTCCCCGCAGTGACACGTACCTGGGTGTGGAGGAATGTCAGGGATCTCACAAAAAATGGACAGAGGCAGAAGTAAAACTGATTAATTAGACTCTCCCCCCCTCAAAAAAAAAAAGAGAACAAAATGCAAGTGTGATATCTATAGAGCATAAGCAGTGCAAACTGAGGACAGTCACTGCTGAGGCTGACCCAGCTCAGTCGTCACTAATAAGAAATCATAGTAGGGGGGGATTTTTAGCCAGGCAGCACATTCCCAGCTTGAATGGAATACAGTTTTAAATTAAACTACTTCATCAATGTTTTTCCATCAGTTCTGCCTGTACTTTGTGTGTTATCAGCAGTGATTACCTGGTTCTGGTCCATCCCCAGCCCCAAGGTGGGTCAGCAGAAGAGTCTCTGCAGGTGAGAGACAGAGCAAAAAGCAAAGTGAAGGTGCAGGTGCCCCAGTGAGAGCAAAGAGCAGGTCTGGAGGCTCCAGCAAGTGAGGGAGCAGAGCTCTGGGAGCCCAGCAAAACCAGCTGTAAATTTTCTATCCCTCAGCTTTAAACCTGGTGTTTTCAATGACTGATTTAGTTTGACAGACACACATCAGTCCCAATGTGAAAGCTGCAAACAAGTGATCAGACTGCTCTTACCCACAGGTCCACGTTTAAGGTGCCTTTCAGCCTCAGATTCCAGCCCCAACTGTTCTGATTAACCCCGTTCTCCGTGTTCCTTCCCCCTTGCACATCCACGCCTCAGACGGGAGGAGAGGCAGAACTCCAGACCACCAGCGCTTTTTCCACTCCCTTTGGGTACCAAAAACTTGGCTTCCCAAGGAGAAGCAGCCCCATGAACCTTTCCCTCAGAGTTTTAGCCCCCAAGCACTGCAGGCAGCTCGGGGGGACGGTGTGAGCTGAGAGGGGAGCGCAGGGTTACCTGTCCATGCCGGAGTCCTGCAGCAGGTACGGGGAGCATTTCACGGCATAAACTGTCCTCCACCTCCTGTGCTTCACCTGGTACACGTGCCCAAAGCCTCCACTGGCCACTTTCACCCAGTCATCCTCGAAATCCTCCCTGTTGAAGACGGTCAGGCTGCCCAGCTGCCGCTCCCTGTCCGCAGTCATGGCACAAGAGGCAGCCTGGCTCTCTGCCTCCTGCCTGGCTGCTGGCAGAGGGGGAGAAAGGAGCTCCTCCTGCTCCTGCCCTGCTTGGGGAGTCAGCCCAGGTGAGCCCTGGGACCTGCTGCCAGGAGGAGGATCCTGCCTGTCACTCCCATTTATCATGCAGAGCAGCTGCATGGCCTGACTCCAGGAATGTGTCTGCTGTTCCCTAAAGCTGCCCTGCTCTCTCCTGTCCAGCACTCTGTGGGAAAATGCTCCAAGAACATGAGATGGTGCAAACAACAGTCCCTTTGCAACTGCACTGGGCTTAGGGTGGGATTCCTCACCTGGGCCATCAGCACAGGGGAAAGGGAGGCAGGAAAGGGAAGGAAGAGGGAAATCCATGAGGCTCCTGTGCAGCAGGATAAAAAAGGGGAAAACACTCCAGAAAGACAAAGAACAGAGAAAAAACCCAGAACTGGAATGTGGTGAACACGAGTCCATGAGCCTGAGAAAATGCTCTGACAGAAACACAGGAACTGTGGTGGCCCAGAGCAGTTCCCTCGGGGATAAACCTGCTCTTGGGTGCCTGTCAGGGGTGTTTGGAGGGATGAGGAACACTGGTCTGAGCAGTTCAACCATCCCCCCGTGAGCAGCAGGCACAGCACACATCCCTTGGCTGCGGCAGGGATGGATGGCATTGCCTGGGCTGAGCACACAGGTCTGCAATGACCCGGCTCTCCCTGCAGGTGAGGCAGCGTCAAATACAACGTGGGGCTGATTTCCTCGGCTCTGCCGCAATACAAAGAACAATTACTACTTCTGCAGGGCAATTGTCTAATTGTCACGGAGTTTTGACCTGGAACTTTTAGCTCTGTGCCAGATCTTGAAGAAATTCTTGGAGGGAGACTGAGCCAGGGGGAAGTGTGAGCTATTTTCCTGTCACACTCACTGCAAGGCTTTAGGGAAAGAAGGAAAAGGTAAAAAGCCAGCCGGGCTCTGCAGCCTTTCAGGGAGAAAAAAAACCCAACAAACATTAGAAGGTGATTGTTGCCAATTCCCTGCCACGCCCTAAGGTGTGATGCTTCTGGCACAGGTCCTGCCCTTGCCACCCCCACTCCCACCTGCTGGCACTCACCTGCCAACACAGTTTTGGAGCTGAGGACAAGCACAAGGGGACTCCATTTCCCTCATGTTCAGGCACAGGCAAGACAAACACTTACTGCAATGCTCAGTTTTATTACAGAGAGTTCAGGAGAAGGTGAGGGAGTAGGGGAACACAGTCCGTGGCTGCAGAGGGGCTCTCCCCCCCCAGCCTTTCAGGGGTGCCCATTTCTGGGCAAACAGCTCCGGCCTCAGACACGTTCCAGGGTCAGTTTTAATGGCATTACAATACCCAAGTGGGGCTGTCATGCTGACCATTTACACCGTGGCCCCAAAGACAGGGAGATCCCTTCCCAGAGGTGCCTTCCTCGTGCCTCGCAGCTCCTTCCACACTCCAGGGATGCCGCTTCCTCCTTCCCCACCAGCAGCTGCTGCACAGGCAGCAGGAGGTCGTGGACAGGATGGAGAAGCCCCCGTTCCTCCAGAACAGAGGGATGTGAGGCTGGATCCCAGGCAGGGCTCTGCACAGCACCCCCTGAGCATCCCCCAGCTGCCCTCCCCCACCCGCAGGGTCTGACAGCCCCTCCCTCGGCCCTTCTCTACTCTGCAGTTTGTGGGCTCGCTCATGCAGAGGGAAAGGAAGGAAGGGGAGATGTGCTCCAGGCAGAGGTGGGACCCTTCTTGCTCTCTGGGTCAGCAGAAGCTCTACAGAAGCACTACAATGTGCAGGGCAGGACCTGTTCTCCCCTGGTCACTGCGGTGCTGATGTGGGAGCTGCAGGACCAGGAGCTGCTCCAGGCTCACAGCCCATGGATGTCTCCAAAGGGGGGGTAGTGCAGGGGTTTGGATTTCTGCCTGTGGTGCAGCCAAAGGCTTATGAAGGCACTGCCCAGGACAGCAAAGCCAGTGAGGGAGCCCAGCAGGATGGGCAGCAGCACAGCAGAGCCAGGACCTGGAAACAGAGAGAGGGAATCAAGAATGAACAGGGTGAAGAGAGGGGAACCCATCTTCAGAGCATGCCAGGCAGGTGTGGCAATTCCTATCCCCAGAGCAGTAAATGGGCAGTGCCTTTTCAAACACAGCCCTCTGTACCCTAGAATGCCACCAGTAAATTGTCTTTGCATAAACAGCTAAAGGAGAGATTTGGGATGGTGCCAGGGGATTTAAGAAGTCTCTCACGTTCATGATGCACCAGGTTCAGTGTCACTCTTTTCTAATACCTGGACAACATCTGATTGACATTAACCTTGACTCCTCCCATCTCATCTCAACTAAAACACAGGCACTGGAAGGAAGAATTAGTAAATATCTCTCACAATTGTTTTGATGACATTCCTCATTCTCAGTCAACATGTTTCACCAAAATACCACAACGTGTATGAAAAGTCTTTACAGATCCATTCTGCCTCATTTTCCTCCCCTTTCCTCCTAAAGCTTCAGTTCCTTCAGAGGATGTGCTTGGCTGTGTGTCCTGGCTGAAACTCTGTTGGATCTGATGCTGATTAACCACCAGGTTTGGGATTTAGGAAGGCCAGAACAAAGGTGGGGAGTTGTTGGGGCATATTCTAGTCATACCAGATGTCTGTCAAGAAAGCTGTTAAAACTAATGCTTTTTCTTTTTTTTTTCAGCAGAAAAAGCTGAACAAAAACTACTCCAAGAGAGAGAGACAGAGAAGGCAGAAGAGGAGACCCACCTTCCACAGGTTTGTACAGAAACCTGTCCTTCATCCTCCAAACTGGGCCAAATGAGATGAGGTTGTGCAGGTTTCCATGGCTGTTCCTGTCACTGGGCTGCAGAACTGGCTCCACACTTTCCAAGCAGTCCTGGCAAGGACATGGAAAACTTCTGAAAGGGTATTGGTGGCACCTGAACAGAACCTCCTGCCCCAGGAGCCCACAGCAGGCACAGATCTCCTCAAATTCCACCTTTTCCAGCTCTGCTGCCATCCCAGAAGCTGAGTTGCTAATCCTTGGACCAGCACACGTGTAAATCTCTATTCCCTGGCTCCCTTTCCCTGGGGATTAGCAACTATTGCTACCATTTCATGTCATTAACTCCCCTCCCAGACGTGAACTAAGGGATTTCCCGGGCAGGGGTGACCTTGGTGTGGTGGCTTTGGAGGCAGCAGATCCCCCCTCAGTGGTGCCAGAGCAGCCCCCCCAGGTACCTGCTCACATCCCTCCTTTCTGTGCAGACACACGTCCAGCTCGCAGTGCAGGTAGGCCACGGAGTGGTTCAGCATCTGGAACAGCTGGATGGTGAAGCTGGCAGCTCTGGACCTGCTGCTCTGCAGCAGCTGGATGTGCCTGCACTCAAATGGCAGCCTGGAGCAAAGGGCAAACAGGTTCAAATTGCTGAGGGAAGGCAGGGAAGAGGGGGATCTGCTGGCAGGGGTCTGCACCAGCTCTGAGCCACAGCCCTGCCCCTACAGGAACAAAAAACCCCAAATGTCAGCACTGCAGGCTGTGCCTGCCCTGCTGTGGAGGACACAGCCCAAGGGCAGCAGAACTGTTCCCTGGAGGCTGATTTTGGTACGAGCAGTGAAATGGCTGCTGTGCTGTGACAGCCACTCCCTGACACGTCTCACACCCCAGTGCTTTTGCAAACATCAGCTCACGAATCCTCCCGTTCCCCTGTGCTCAGGTGAGGCCAGAACAGCTGTGAAATGCTGCTGGGGGAATGGGAGCCTGTGGAGAAGCCTGGCTGTCATCCCTGCACTGCTCTGCTCCTAGGATGTGCCATCCCAGCAGGAAGGGCAGGGATGCTGTACTCTGACACCTGGGACAGCACCTGTGGGGGATTGGGATGGCTTATCTACATAAGAAATGTAAATGATTATGGATGTGGGGAATTCGGATGGTTCATCTACAGAAATCCAAGGGAGATTTCTTCCCCTGAGGTTCTGTGCCTTATCAGGCCCTCGGTATTAATTACCAGGCTGAGGGAGCAGAGCACTCCTGGAGTCGCTCTCACTGCTTGGAGCTTGCTCCAAAGAGCTCAGCCCGCAGCCACAGGACACAGGAGAGGGTTCCTGAGGATGCCAGGGGAGGTGAAGCCCATCCCATCCCATGGGCTCGTGTCCCACCTGCGGAACAGGCAGCACCGGGCTCCCGGGGCCCCGGGGCTGGCGGAGGGGGTCACACAGCATGAGTGGATCTGCAGCAGGGGCTGCACCAGGGGCTGGCTGAGGTTGTCCTGCACGGCCACCAAGGCCAGGAAGGTCTCTGGGGAAGGTGCTGGAGGCCCGTGGGGCTCGGGGGCTGTGTCAGCAGCGGGGCTCAGGCTCAGCTGCACCGTGTAGTTGCCGGAGCCGCAGGCGTCGTCCCTCACCACGGCCAGGCTGCAGGGAAAGAGGGGGGACAGGGGGAAAGGTGAGGCACAGCCAGGCAACAGGGACTGCCCCGGGGGGAGTTCCCTCAGTGACACCACACAATGAGCTGAAGGAAATTAAGGACTCACAGCCCCTGGTGTGCTGGAGCCTCCCTGGGCACAGCCCCGACCAGAGCCAACCCCTGCTCCTCTGTGCCCTCACCACTGGAACCAGGGGGAACTGGGAAGTGTTTCACTGGCTGGGAATATCCTCCTTCTCTGCCAGGGCACCTGATCACCTGAGCACTATCAAATATTCTCACTTGCAAAATCACATATAGATTGTTTTTGGGAGCTGAGGCAGAGTCAGAGAAAACTCGCTCTGAAGGACAATATCAATGTCCAAAATGTGAAAAGACTCACCCTTTTTACTTTATGTGATGTCATTGCTGAATGAATGAAGTACTTTTAAAGCCACAATACAGCACACCCATGTGACCGAGGCAATGGAGCAATTTGGATACTCACAGAACCACAGGATGGTTTGGGTTGGAAAGGACATTAAAGCTCATCCAGTCCCACCCCCTGCCATGGGCAGGGACACCTCCCACCAGCCCAGGTTGCTCCAAGCCCCATCCAACCTGGCCTTGGACACTACCAGGGATCCAGGGGCAGCCACAGCTTCTCTGGGCAACCTGTGCCAGGGCCTCAACCACCCTCACAGGGAAGGTTTTTTTCCATATATCCCATCTAAACCTACTCTCTGTCAGTGTGAGGCCATCCCACCTCGTCCTGTCACTGCAGACCCTTGTAAATATTGACCCCACCCTTAAATCCCGCAGCAGGAATGACACGGAGGGAATGGATTACCCATCCAGGACGGTGAGCTCCGGCTGCAGCCCCCTCCTGTGGTGAGAGTCCCCCGGGGCGCTGGGCTGGGCATCCAGCAGTGTCACCAGCCCTTCAGCTGCTCCGTCTGTCACCTCCTCCGTCCTGCCCATCTCCTCTGCCTCCGTGTTCAGCAGCAGCCCCTCGGATGAGTCAGTGCCTGCCACACCCAGCAGGGAATCCCCCCGGGCTGGCACCGGGCTCCCGGCTGGATGTGAGGGGCTCTCTGGGCTTGGAAGGAGCTGGATCAGGTCTCTGGCTGGAAGCATCTCAGCATCACTGCCAGCTGCTCTCTGGAAGGCAGCGGAGTGATTGGTGACCTTGTTCCCAGGCCTGTCAGCAGAGACAGCCAGTGCTGCTGTGGGAGGTGGCCCGGTGGCACTCAGGGCACTACCAGGGCTGGAATGACCAGGCTCCTGTTCCATGGTGTCCTCCAGGATCTCCTTCTCCAGAGGGTGTCTGGGTGATGCAGACAGGGGTGCCTGGGTGGGCAGGTGGCTGGTGGGGGCTGCATCTCCTTTTGCTTCGCCCTCGCCCTTCCCCACAGCGGGTGTGTTCACTCTGGGCAGCACCACGCTGGGATCAGGCTGGGGGGCTGGTGTGGGCAGGTGAAGCCCTTCCTTGCTGGTGAGTGGAGCAGTGGTCTGAGCACCCTGGGCTGCAGAGAGAGCAGTCGCTGCTGGGGCAGCCTGGGGGGTGCCCTGTGTCCCTCGGGGCTGTCTCTGCAGGGCAGCTCCCGTGGGCACAGAGGGCTGTGCTGCACTCGAACCCAGCTCCTTCCCCAGGGCTGCTGGGGGTGGGTGCTGTGTCTGTGTGTTCACTGGGGCTGACAGAGACACACTCACCCCCAAGGATTTACCGGGTCCTGCTCTTCCTGCCCTTGTGCTGCTTTCAGTTGGCTTTGGGGTTTCTCCCGTGCTGGCCCGTGGGAACAGTTCAGTGGGAGCTTGGAGGGCTTGGTCACCTTCCAGGGCTGCCAGCAGGGGCACATGTGCAGGAGCAGGAGAAGGTGGGCGTGCAGCAGAGCTGGAACACACCCTTGGGTGGGTCACTGCAGCCCGAAGTTTCCCAGGAACCGTCGTTTTCCTTTGGATCTCTGTTGAGAAGGGAGCCTGCACTGGGGCTGCTGTTGGTCCCTCTGTCCTTACAAAGGGCTTGGGCACCGTGGGAGTGAATTCCAAGTGGTGAGGGAGATCAGGTTGTACGGAAGTGCTGTGGGTTTGTGCTGCTGTAGCAGGCACAGGGACCCCTCCTGAAGGAGCTGTACTGCCCAGGGCAGCCTCTCCGTGCTCATTCCCAGCTGGAAGCACTGGGGAAGCTGAGGACATGCTGGGTACCACGGATGGCAGCAGCAGTGTGGTCCTTGGGAGCCCTTGGGACATGGCCTGCAGAGGTTTGGTGCTTGTGAGCCCCTTTAGTGGGTGTTTTGTGGCTGCAGCTGAGCGTGAGGTCCCACACTCCACGCAGGGAGCAGGGGCAGAGCTCGGGGTAGTCCCTGAGCCCTGGCCAGGGGGGGCAGTTTGCAGGGTCCCACCGTGCTGGGCATGGCCTGTGGCCCCTGTGCTGCTGGGCACGGGCTGGGCAGGCACTGGGAAATCAAGGAGTCCCTTTGCTGGCAGTAAAGGAGTTACAGAATGTGGCTTTTCAGTCGTGGGAGACACTTTGGAGGAAGTGTAGGGGCTCTGCTGCTTGGGCAGCACTGATGGTGCCCCAGGGGAGGTGCCAGGCTCTGCCAACATCCTGCTCAGGAGCAGTAAATCAGTGCCCTTGGCCTCCTGGGAAGGGGGAGCAGGGATCTGCATCTCCTCTGGCATCCTGGGAAGGTGCAGGGCCTGCCCTGTGCTGCTCATCCCCATCCCTGGGTCCAGCAAAGGACCTGGTGCTGAGGTGGCAGCTTGGCCCAAGCCCACGGTGGCTCTGTAACTGGGATGAGTTGGCTGAGGAGTTCCCTTTGCTCTCTCTGCTTGTTGGTTGGACACAGTGGACAGAGTGGTTTCAGATTTACTGGTGGGATAAGAGGAACTCGTTCTCCCGTGGCTGCTTTCAGGGGTGCCCACGTGTGTGCCCAGGTGGGTGGTTCTGTGGTCACCTTCCCCCTGAGGAAAGGGTGAGTGTGCCCTGTCCGTGGGCAGCAGGATGAACACAGGCCTGACCAGGACCAGGCTGGAAGGACTCGGGTGGTGTAAGTCTGCCAGGTCCAGCGCTGAGGAATTTGATGCTGCCAGGATTTGCTGGACAGAAACCAGCCCCCCAACACTGGCATTTGGGAATGTCCTGGGCAGAGGGGACTCCTGCAGGGGTCGAAGGCATATCATACCATCAGTGCTCTTAAACAGGAAGGACAGGTTTGGGGCTGAGGTGATGGTGAGGGGGTCTCCTCTGCCGGTGCTGAGGTTCCTGGTGGCTGCATCAAGAGCCCTCCTGAACTGCTGCACCAGAGCCTGTGCCAGCTGTGCTGGGACCTCACCAGGGACACTGGGCACCCCTGGGTCAGGGTGTGCTGTGGCTGAGCCGGGCTGGCTTCCCCCTGCACGGGGTGAGGGTGGTGCTGGAGCAGGAGCTGCTGGGCTGGCAACGTGCTGGCTCTGGGGGGCTGCAGGGGCAGAGCTGTGCCAGGGAGCTGCCTGGGTCCTGCTCTCACGGGCTCCAGAGGGGCTGGGCACTGGGCTGGCTGGTGCAGAACCAGTTCCAGCTGTCTGCTGTGGGAGACCTTTCCTTCTCTTGGAGTCTTCCCCTGTGCTCACCTGCAGTGTCACAGCAAAGGCCTCCCGAGGTACAGGGTGGGCAGGAACCCCCTGAGCCTGAGACCCAGAGCCAGGGGCTGGGGGTGAAGTTGTTGTTGGGTGAAGTCTCTCAGCAGAGCTGGGGATGCCCATGGGCTGCAATCCAGCACGAGCAGGGAAAGATGCACCTGGTGGCTGAAGCCCCTCCTGAACAGAATCCCAGGGCTGAAGGTCTGCATTCCCAAAGCCAGACATTCCAGGAGAGGGTGCAGATGTTACTTCTTTTTGCTCTTTAGTAGTCTGGGAAAGCTTTAATGAGGAAATCCTTGATGGGCTTAATGAGGATGAAGTAGCAGGAGCCTGTGGGCTCTCAGGGGATAGAGATTTTCCAGGTTTACTTGTCACCATCCCATGATCAGCATCTCCTTGTAGAGCTACAACTGTGATTCCTTGAGAGCTCCTGTTGCTTTCCTGGGCAGCAGGTTTGGTGCAGTTGAGAGCCCTGTCCAAAGACAGGGGCTGTTGTCCTCCAGTTGTGCCAACAGGCCCTTGAATTGGAGATGGACTTAACCCACCAGGAACTGGGGATCCCATCAGGAATGAAGAGGAATGGACGTGGCCTGGTGGCAGTGTCTGCAGAGCAGGCAGCTGGGGTGGGTGTCCAGAACCATTTGTTACAGCTGCTGTTGAATTCCTGCCTTTGCTGCCTGTGGTTTCTTCCTTCAGAGGCAAAGCAGGGGAAAGCTGAGTGGCCCTGGCATGTGTTGTGCTGGAATAGGCTGCATCCAGGCCCCCTGGAGCTGGCTGTGGTGGGACTGCAGAAGCTGTAATTCCAGCATCCATACCCCGGGTCCTCTCCAGGCGTGCAGGAGTCAGAGCTGCTGTGCTGCCAGGCTGGGCCTGGGGGTTTGTGTGCATCCCTGGGGGGGACCAGCCCAGCCCTGCACCTCCAGGAGCAACCCCAGCTCTGCTTGGAGATGGAGATGCTGCTGTTCCTGTTCCTGGAGGATGAAAATGGACTGTTGAAGTCAGGGGAGATGTTTTAGGCTTTGTCACCTCCATCTGCTTGAGAACAGAAAGGGAGGGGACAGCTGTGAACTGGAGAGAGTCCTGGTGTGGCCCCACACTGGGAGGGGGCTGGGGCAGCCCAGCAGCAGAGCTGGCAGGGCTGGGACCAGCCCCAGGGATATCTCCTGGTCTCTGCAGGGAGCTGCCTGGCTGCTCCAGAGCTGTGGTAGCCTGGGATCCTTGTGTGGAGACAGGGATGCTGAAGCTCCCCAAGAGCTGGCCAGGCCAGGCGTGTCCAGCCTGGGGCTTTGAAGCTGCTGTTTCTGTGTGCAAGGGCTCAGACACCTCCAGGGTCCCAGCCAAGCCCCCAGGCAGCAGAGCTGTCCTGTTTGCAGCTCTCCCTGTGGCAGCAGGGCTGGAGTCAGCCGTGCTTGCCTTGGTGGGATCAGCTGCTGGGCTCTGGAAGTGGAAGGTCACCCCATCCAAGTCGTCCTCTGTCACAGGGAAGCCCTCGCTGGGCACTGGGCTGCTCTCAGCTCTGGGCTGGGCCCATCCAGGGAAGCCCAGGGCCAACATGTCACTGGCATCATGTTCACTCCTGGAGGCTCCTAAGGAACAGAAAACAAGCCTTTGGCCCTTTCAGTTGCCCAAGAACCTTGCACAGTTTGCAGCAGTTCAATGGAGCAGCTGCTGCCTGCCCAGAGCCACAGGGAGGATGGGCAGCTCTGGCACTGCCCTCTCACAGAGCTGGGACAGACCTGACCCTCTGCACCCTCTGAGGGACCCAAAGCATTCCCCAGCCAGGGGGGAGCCCTTGACCTTCCCTGTGCAAGGATCTAAACACCTGAAGGTGCAGGGGGAGGAAACCCTGAGGCTGCCCAAGGACAGCAAAGCAAGACTAAAACAGCCCTGAGGGAGCTCCCTCAGTGGCTCTGCTTTAACTCTCGTCCCTCCCAGCCCCCCAAGCCCATGAGGAGCTCCCTGACCCGCGCTGGGTGACCAGCAGCACAAAGCTGCTTTGGTTTGACACAGAGCAGGGAGAACACAGCAACTTCTCCACCTTTATATTCTCTGATCAAAAGCAGACGCTTTGCCAGTTTAAAAGGCAGACCCCTGGGTTTAAAAGGTTGTCTTTTTGTCCACACATTTTTGCTTTTTTTTTTTGTCTTCACGTCAGAAACTTTGATGTTCCCAAGTATCATTTCCAAACCATCAATTAAAACATTTATTGTACTTTTCTCTCCCATAACTTTGAGCGTTTTTCCCTGAGGCACCTGCCAGGAAACAGGCTGATCCACAAGCTATAAAAAGGTGATTATGCATTTGAGTGTTATGCATTTAAATTGTGGAGTTTTTGACAAAGCAGAGCTTCAGCAGATTAAATCCCTGGGCTTGGCATCCAGGTGTGGTGCTTCAAGATTCCAATGTCCCTGTGGACATTTGGAGAACCAGCACTGCTTTGAGGCAGCAGTGAGCAGGAAAAGCTGCTATCATGGAACTCAAAAAGCTGATTTATTGCTAAAAAAGGGAGGGAGGTTAACAGGTGATGGAGATTGGTATGTTAAATCTATAAAATACTTTAAACTGGGGGTTTTGTACAAACAACTGACACTCCCGTGGTTTAGCCCCAACACAAGTGATCTGTCTATAAAGACAAGCACTTACTGAACTGAGGTCTTAAAGTGGTGAGAACAGCCACAAACACACCCTGCAGGGGGACAAGGTAATTTAAAGAAACACACCAAAACCCACGAAGAGAATAAAATCGTTAATCAGGTGGAGAATTCTTATCAGGCTTAAGATGATGAACTGTGGTGCCTGGAAAAGGGGATTCTGAACAAGGTTTCACCAGTTTGATCCTCAGTGCTGCTTGGAACTACTCTGGGAAAAGGGACTTTTTGCTCTGCTTTCCCCACCCTGAAAATACCTATTTTGTGAGCTCAGGTAAAACAGCACAGGAATGTCCTGAGTGGGGCCACAAACACCCTCCAGCTGAAAGCCCCCAAATCCTGAGCTGCACAGGCAGAGGGAAGCTGCTCCTGCACCCCAGAGTTGTCTCAGGCTGCTGGCACAACACTGAGCATCCTTTCTGTGCTTGCTGATAAGGGAGGAAACAAGGCAGAGAAGCAGCAACAGAGATCAGAACAAAACACATCACTCACCAGACAAATCCAACAGTCCAGCTGCAATCAGGACAAAGATGGGGAGTTTTTCCTGCATCTCGTGAAGCAGCTCCTGAGTCATCCCAAGAAAATACATCCTGACAGGAAGCAGCTCCCCGAGGAGTCACTGCTGCCTCCCAGAACTGGGCATTTGCTGGTTGCTCTGGAAGGGCAGAGTATTGGGTTACTTTATAAGAGCTTAGGCCAGACAGCAACCAATAACCTGTTCCAGAAAAAAAAAAAAAACCTGCACCAATTGGAATCAATTGATTTTTAACAAAAGAAGAGGATGTGTCTGTGTGTGTTTGCCATCCAAAGATGGAAAAAGTGGCTGTAAATGGGAGAGGCTGCTCGTACAAGGCAGCTCTAGCCCTGGGGAAAGAGTTAAAATGCTACCTGGGGTGCTGTGGGAAGGATGTGAAGGTGCTTGGGTGTATCCAGGGGGGGACAACAGAGCTGGGGCAGGGCTGGAAGGCACCTCCTGGGAGCCTGAGGGCTCTGGGTTTGTCCAGCTTGGAGAAAAGGAGGCTGAGGGGCAACCTCCTGGCTCTCTGCAGCTTCCTGAGGAGGGGATGGGGATGTGGAGGGGATGGAGGGGAGGTGCTGAGCTCTTCTCCCTGGCATCTGGTGCCAGGACATGTGGGAATGGCTCAGAGCTGCAGCAGGGGAGGTTCAGACTGGGCAGGAGGAAGCATTTCTTCACCAAGAGGGGGGTCAAACCCTGGAACAGGAGAGGTCCCTGCCCCAAACTGCCAGTGTTTGAGAGGCATTTGAGCAGTGCCCTGAACAACAGCCTGGCACTGCTGTTCAGCCCTGAGTGCTCAGGCACTGGGACTGGATGATGGTGCAGGTGCCTTCTAACTAAACTATTCTACAATTCTATTTCTACCCAATAAGGGTCAGAAGGTTTTGCCAGTTTGTGCTGATACAAACACACTCAGGGATCAGCCTGGATCCCAGATGGAGACATTCCACTAAAGCCATCCACTCCTGGAGTGACCCCAGGGGATGGACACTGTGTCCCTGTGACCCTCCAGGCAGGGTGAGGCTCCAGAGGAGGAATCCAGCTGCTGGATCCTTTCTTCCCCAGGCCTACAAGCATTGGCAAAGTGTGTTCTCCACTCAGGAGCCACAGAGAAAAGCCACCACACGTCGAGGAGGTGACAGCACAGCAACAAACCCCAGCTGGCTCAGGGCAGCCTGACCTGACATTTGGGTGAGGGAGGAACGAGACCCACAGGGGAAGAACAAGAACTTAAACTTTCATAACAGGATTTAAACTTTCATAACAGAATTTAAACTTTCCTAACAGCCAAAGAAGAGACCAGAGGCTTCCTGGGCAGAGTCACACACAACCCTTTTTTCCTTTAGCCATAAAGCCCCAGAGTGCTTGCAAACCTTCCCCTGCAGACACGAGCAGCACACAGCAGGTATCTCCCAGTGCCAGGCACCTGCACAAACACACACAGCCAGCCAAACTCCTGGAGAAGGGCTGAGGGGAAGGAGAGAACAGTCACACAGCCCTGGCTGCCCTGAGAGCAGAGAAAACATGAGCACGAGTCAGATAAGCAGCACAGTGACAGCTGGGGAAAGCACAGTGAGGGACACTGGGGGTGAGGGGACGGCTCTGGCAGGGGATGAGGGGATGGCTCTGGCAGGAAGCACCAACAAACCCTGCTCCATCCCTCAGCAAGCTGCTCGAGTGGAGCCTGGGGGAGGACAGACAGCACAGTCCCAGCCCTGCCACTCACCTCCAGCTGGGAACCAAGGGCAGGTCACCTCGGCTTTTTCCCACTCTCAAAGTTGTCTGGGAGAGAAAATCACCCTGACTTTTGGCATTTGTACAGCCCCTGACACACAGAGCCCCGATTCCAGCCAGTGCCTCCACCCCAGACCTGCCCCCAGCAATCTGTGCCCTGCCTGGGGCACTGAAGGGAACAAACCCTGGGGTTTGTGCCTGTTTGCACTGAACCCACCCAGCATTTGTCCCATGTTTGTCTAGGCAGGGTGCAGCTTAACGGCAGGATCCTAAAAAAGCCAGAGAGATTATTAAATTGAGATTATCAATTCTGTGCCTTTCACTGAGAGGGGAGAAAAACCAGGTGCAAGAGAATTTCCTTCTCCTCAAGTGGGAAGATGATTCAGCTGCTATTTTGAAAAGGAGATGATATATAATTTGTCAGCCACTGTTCTGGAGGGACAAGATTACCCCCAGAATAGACACCCACAGGTGTCATGGAGGGAAGCTGAAGAGCCATTTTAAAGTCAAACATGACTGGCCTGTGCTTATTCATATAAATGTAATATATTCTTTTGTTTCCTGTGTTTAAAAACAAGGCCAAAAAAAATGGCCATTTATTGTGTCATTTATTAAAGCAAAGACAGCTTAATGCAAGCTGTTATTTTAGTTGGTAGCCTAAATAATAAATTAACTTATTGTTTTACTGGCTTCCTTGTGGGACCACAAGTGCTTCAAAAAGGGACTAAGAAGCTGATGTGGTTTGAGTTAGTTTTATTAAAGAAAAGAATACTCAACAATAAGTGGGATGAAGAACATGTTTGGAAGGTCTCTGAAGGGTTCAGCTGCTGTGCACGTATTTCATGGAGGAGTTCAGGATGGCCAGGCCATTGAGCTTCCTCAGCTGGTGAATGTGCCTGGAAAGACAACAGGAAGCTTTCTGGGAAATGGGTGGTGACTACAATGAAAGTTTGAAGCTTTCACTGCTCTGCCATACCCCTGCCCAAACCTCCAAGGGTGTTTAATGCCATATTCAATAAATCCCTCTTAAAGCAGCACAAGAAACAGAGTTCCTAGATTACTATTCCTCTCAGAAAGGAAAATAAGTAATGCCTGATCATACTAAAATAGATGGCATTTCACATCAACAAAACTAAGAAAATAAGGTGTTTCCCTTTCCTGTCTCTGGTGGGTTACACAAACCTCACAGCAGATACTTCAGTGCTGCTTTGGCATCTCCAGCAGAAGCAAGGCAGATGAATTCTGGGACCTAAGCATTATCCCTTGCTTTCTGCAGTGCTTCAGGATGCACATGAGCAAGTTAAACTCGGTTTCCCTGCATGGAATGCAGCCCAAGCCCCAGCTGTCAGCCTGGCACTCTCCTGGCAGGCAGCAGCAGACACTCCTTGCTGACATTTCTACTGTTATCCTGCTCTCATTATTGCTCTGACCTCTACAGTGATTTCTAACATCCCTTCTTCCAGCACAGGCAAACGAACTCCTTGAGAACCAACCCCCTTGAGAACCAACTCCTTGAGAAAATCCCCCTAAAGCAGGATTTTGGGGAGAGGACAAGCGGGAATTCCAGTTGGAGGAAGGGTATTTATATAAAATAACCCCCTGCCCTGTACCCTCTTGCCCTGTGGGTATAATTGCCTTACTCTGGCTGGTTTTTCAAGGGCCATCACCTACAGAAGCCCCAGCTGGAGCAGCCCAGGGGTGTTGTGGCAGTACCTGGGCTCAGCAGCACAGAGCTTCCCCAGGGCCACGGCCGCGTTCTCCCGCACCGCGGGGCTGGCAGCATCACTCCCGGCCAGGCTCAGCAGCAGCAGCACCACGCTGGAGCCCAGCAGGGCTGTGCCTGCCCCGGGCACCCCCAGGCACTGGCTGAGGCAGAAAGCAGCATTTCCCACCACCATCTCCTCCTGTGAGCGCAGGAGCCGCAGCAGCACCGCAAACCCTGCGGGGAGGAGGCACAGAATTCACTCAGAGCTGCTCGGGGAGCACTGACCTTCCCTCCTGAACTCCCGGGGGCTGAGCCTTCTGGGAAACCCGGGGGGAGCAAGGGAATTCCCTGGCAGGGCTCAGGATCCAGGAGGGATCAGCTTCACCTGCCCAGCTGTGTCCTCACTAAGGAGAGGAGCTGGAGGTGCCACCTCTGCAGCTCCCACTGGCCTGTCCCCCTGGCAGAGCAGGCACAGAGGGCTCAGAGAGCCCAGTCCACTGTCTGAAGGCAGAAATGCTGTGGTGGGAAGGACAGCTGAGAAAAGGACCGTGAAAAGCTTCCTGTAGATCCTTCACCACCACAGGGCAGCTCAGCTCATCCACCTCTGTAACCAGCAGAGTATTTTCTGTGCCCTTGGCAGAGATGTGCAGCTCTTGCTGACCTCTGCAAGCAGCAGCACCTCAGGCCACAGAGTCTGGAAACGTTTAGAGAGACCACTGTCTCCATAAAACACAGCCAGGAAGTTTCCTTGGGGATTTACATAACTTTGTTTTGTTTGTTTGTTTGTTTGTTCTTCTCCACGGTCCCTCTTCCTGCTCACACCCCACCCTTGCTGCTGCAATAATATCTCCTGCAAAGGCAGTGCTGCTCCCCACAGCAGCAGGGGCTGGGGCAGGGGCTCAACTAAGTGGCCCAGAAATGCATTCAATGTCATGGGACTAAAGCTCGATTCCAGTGTCTGGGTTGGCAAACAGAGCTGACAAAAAAATAAGAAATAAGTGACTTCTCAGAGGATTAATACCCAGAGCTTTGGAGGGAAGAATGAGAGTGAAGTTTTGGTGCTATTTGAGGAAATGAAAGCTTCATCTGCAGATGACAGTGAAACTCATCTGGGCTGCACAAAGGGAAGATGATGCTCTGAGAGGCTTTTAATGAGTGGAAACCCTTGGGGTTCAAGTTGAACTACACACACTGACAGTTTCTTGACAGGTTCAACCATTTAGAGCACATTTAAGTATTCTCTGTTGTAGTTACATTAGCATTAATTGAAGCTGGATTTTAAAGCAATCTAAGCAGTGTTATACCACAAGACTAGAGCAAATATACTCCAAAATACCCTGACACCTGGCCTGGCATCATCACTCTGTCTCTGTATCCATCTTGTTTTAATAGCAGGCCAAATAAACACATGAAAGGCACCATAAAACAGCCTCAGCTTCTGGAAATCAGAAGTTTCTTATTTTAGCCACTAACTTGATGAAATACACCCCAATTCAGTTCCAGTTTACCAGCACTTTTTCCAAAATACATCCCCTGACAAAGCCTCCCGAGCCATCTCACCAGAGTAAGGTGCAGTTTCCTAACTCAGGCTCATCACCTGCTGTGCCCATTTCAATCCACACACACAGCCAGGCCCATCAAACACCCCCTCAGGAGGGAAAGCAGCACATCACCCAGAGAGCGTGGCTGAAGTCTTGCCAGAGTAAAACCCAGAGTTCAGTTCCACTCTGGAGGGAAAGGCAGGAACTGGGGGAGATCCCAGCTCTGCTCTCAGTCTCCAACCAGTGGAGTTGGCACTTACTCTTATCTGCCTTCACCAGCTCTTCCTGAGCCTGCCTGCTGCTCTTGGTGCAGATGCAGAGGGTCTTTATGCCATAAGTGGCTGTGAGCTGCCCTCCAGCCTGGTGGGATTAAAGCACATTAACAACCAGTTCACACCCGCCTTGCCCAGAGTTACAGAGTGGAGACACTCAGCTATCCCTTATGCCTAAGCCCAAATATCCAATCAAAACCTTCAGAGAGGATGAGAATTACACAAAACCCAACTATTTCAAAATGCCCTGAACGTCTGGAGGCCAATTCTTTTCAAACCATCAGCTCTGATGGTTGCTAGAGACAAGACCCAAGCTGAGTGTCTTCTTCTAGGCTAACCTGGTCTGCATCACAGCAAGTGTGCAAAATGCACCTCAGACACATCCTGCCAGACACAGAGAAAACTGTGCAGCCCCCAGACTGCCTCCCTGGCTTAAAACTAAACCTGGCACCTTAAAACTAAACCCAAACTGCCACAGTGGACACCACGGAGGCAGACACATCCTCCCTCTCCCAGGGAAAGGAGGCCAAAGCCAAGGGGCAGCTGTGGTTTGCTGAAGGGAAAATACGAGCAGAAATAAAGAGAGTTTAACTCACTTTCAAGAATTTGACCATTTTCTTCACCACTCCTGCTTTCACTGCCTCCTCCACCGCTGGGAGGACGCTGGCAGCACACGGCTCAGCACCCCAATGGCTCTCTGAGTCAGGGAAAAAGGAGAGGGGAGCAAAAGGAAATGTTTGTTTGCCCAGGAAACTTCAAATTATTTCGTTCGGCAGGAAAAAAAACCAAAGTAATCAAAGCACTAAAAGGAGAAGTTTGCAGAAATTCAGAGAATCACAGACTTGGAGAATCTAACGAGAAACTTCTTGAGGATGAGGCTTTTTTATTGTTTAGTGAAAACTGAACACAGCAGAGCTTCTAAACTCAGTGCAGGGGAGAGGTGAGACCAAACTGAGCCCAGTACAACTCCCTGCATGTTTATTCATTAAATAATCCCATTATCAGGAATGTTTTAGGCCTCAAAGCCTCGTGTACAGACCTGTACAGGGCAGAAGTTTGCTCTGATGTGTCAGGTCAGCCAAGACCACGTTTTGCTGCTGACTTACTGTGACAATCCTCCCGTCCTGGTGGCTGAGCAGAGCCAGGCACCTGCCAGTGACGGCCACAGCAAAGTCCTGCAACAACAGGGGCAAAAACTCACTTGCTGGGAAGGGTTCGAGCAGAAATGGGGTCACAGACAAAGTTCTCCACAACAAAGGATCCAGTGGAGATCAGGGAACACCCCTCAGTAAGTGACTGAACATATGAAATTCTTCCTTCTCGGTGGAATCCTGAGTTTTGAATGGTTTTGGAATGAGCCCAGTGCCTCAGAACATCACACAGCTGGAGAGTGACTCCAAACAAAACATTCATACCTCTATGGGAAGATCCTACGTGTGCTTTACACTGTTTTTTTTCTCTTAACTGTGTGTTTATGTAAAAAGTGGTGGTGGAGAAAATGTTGTCAATTTTTTCCACTTTTTAGCCCA